TGACCACCATACTGCTTCTCAGGTATGCATTCCTACCGGTCCAGGCTTTATTCAAAGTAGAACACAGTCTCTGTAAAATGTCTTAAAGCTTTCCTTACCCTCCAAATCATGAAAAAACTATATCCATATAAGAGTGTGAGGAGATGGAAGGAAAGAGTGAAGAATAGTCCTTAAAAATTACCTTTTCTTAACATTTATGGAGGCATACTTAAAATTTAAAAGTAGGGCTGGAGAGATGGCTCAGTGATTAAGAGCACTGTCTGCTCTTCCAAAGGACCTGGGTTCAATTCCCAGCACCCACATGGCAGCTCACAACTGTCTGTTAATGCTGATTCCAAGCGCTCTGACTCTTTCACACTAATGCATATAAAATAAAACCAAATAAATCATTAAAAAAAAAGGAAAAAATTTGAAAGTAATCATTTGGTGAGGGAAAATATCGGCATAGGTTTACTAACTAGTAAAGAGATTCCAGTAGAAATGCTTCTTTGAAATCAAAATAAAGTATATCGTCCAATGTATGAATACAGTATTACACTGTGTACCCAGACAAGACTGATCATCTTAGATGTACATATAGACTTTATAGCTTATAAAGATGAAATAAAGGTTGGGACTATAACTCAGTGATAGAGGACTTGCTTGGTATGTATGAGGCCCCAGGTTCAATTTCCAGCACTGAAACTTTTGGGGCTGAGCATGTTGCTCTGTCAGTGGAGTGTTTCCATCTCATACAGGAAGCCCTGGGCTTAACCCTTTGCATCGCATAAACCAGAAATGGCAGTACATCCCTGTCATCCTAGGACTTGAATGTAGAGGCACGAAGATCAGGATTTCAAAGTCTATCTTGACTACATGGCGAGCTTAAAGCCAGAAAATGAAAATAAGATACATGTCAAAAAAAAAAAAAAAAAAAAAAGAGGCCATAACAGTTGACTTCCAGCAGGTGGCACTTGACCCACGGCAAAGGATGGAGGAAAAGCAGCTTACTCAATGGATACCAAGGGAATGCAACTCCCAGGAGTCTAACAGTAAAAGTCTCCTCCACAAAGCTTAACTGCAGAAATTGAAGGCAGAAGGCAGAAGGCAGAAGTAGTCTGTAAGGCATCAGCCCCAAAGACGGTTTGTTCAACTGTCTGTGTAGGCAAAGAATTAATGCTCCCTCCTTTCCTAGGTTCTTGGCTGAACTATGAGTTGGCATTAAAAAAATGACTAATAGGAGAAAAATTATTTTATCCACTTTCACATATGAACTTTATTATTAATGGGGCCAAATAAAACCAGATGATTGAATACAGCATAGCATCCTGAGCTACTGAATAGGGAGTTCCTGGGGGATGGTAGAGACAAATGACAGGGAGCTAAGGAGAGAGAAAACACATGGCAAGTAATAAAAATGCCTTGGAGCCTCTCTCTCTTCCTCCTAGATACTGTTGCTAAGTGCCCTATCCCCTTGAGAAAAGTCCTGGATCTTGTGTACCAACTGACTCACTGGACTTGGCCAGCTTGCCTATGTTCACAAAAAATGAAGAAAAAAAAAAAGAGGAATTCATTCACAGCTCAGCCTAACCAGGAAGGCATCTAACCTGTACTTTCACAATCTATTAAACTGAGACAGAATTGGTCTCTTTGAGGGACATACTCTCTTATACCACTGTTTTCATAATTCTAGTCTGATATTTTAGTAGCATTAGTCCCTTTTCATTTTATCAATCTTTTGCAGGATTTTCAAAATTCACTCTTATTTAACTTTCAAATGCAGTAATTTGCTATATCACCCCCAAAATATCAATTTCTTGGTGGCAGGATTAGGTTATTTCCTCAGAGCAGAGTTCTAAGAATACTGTTATTGGGTCAACAAGTATGGACATATTTCTCACTTTCAATACTACAAAAGTTTGCAAGAAGTTAGTTCCAACAGAATCCTGTCAGCACCTGAATACTTTCAAATAAAAAAATTTTTTTTTCCAATTGGGTAAGGGAAATATACTTTGCTTCAATTTCCCTATTTCCAATTACTAAAGATAAGTAACATATACTTGACGTAGTGTTCAGTCAATGCTGTTTTAAGGAATAAATGGGATCTATGAATCTGAATGTATCTGGGAGGTATAAACAGATAGTGTGATTACAGGGAAGAGAATGGGACATAGAAACTTGCCAGGCAGCTTAGGGCAGGGACCCCGAAGCAGCAGTTCCAGGAATGTCCAAATGCTCTAAGGGAGCTCTGGTTTCTTATCTCCTCCCAAATGAGAGCCCTTGCCTACATGTGGGTGTAAGCAGAACTCCAGTCCAGACACTGGTGAACAGCCCTGGGATTGGATCTCTGGATTTCCATCATGGAAAAACGCTCCTACCCAGTCCCCAATTTCAGTGTTATCTCCTAAATGATGCCAGAGTTTCATCTCCAGAGCAAAACTGCTAGGCTATCTGGAGGAGATAAGAGACCAGAATCTAAGTGTTATCTCTGGCTCTGGGTGGAGACCTAACAGTCCAAGCTACGAAAAACCGAAGAGTTAATCTAGCAAGGCTGGGAGCCCACCTAAAGGCATGCGAAATAGATGGAACAATTAAGCCCTTAATTAGAGGTTGTACTTTTCCTTCCCTCTCCTCCCCTCCCCCACGCATGCAGTGCAGTGGCTTCCGGAGTCTTGGCTGGGTTAAGCCTGCTTGCTTTTCTGAATGACTTAGAGAAGTATGATCAATTAAAATCAGTCTTTCTGTCTTTCCCTTTTTCCCCCCACCCAGTACTGGCCATAGCCTAGGCATGCGGCATGCTGCTTCCATAGATACTCTCTGGGATTTCTTGTTCTTTTTCTCTGAAGTTATTCCTAGCATTCCTTCCCTCCCCCAGCATACACACACAACTCTCAACTCTTCGTTTCTGCCACGTGGTGGCCTACAAAAGGTATGATTTTTCTCTCTTCCTCTTTTTCATCCTCCCTGGTAGCTACCAAGATTTACAACTTGCTTGCCCTAAGGATTCCCTTTTAAACACTAATAAAATTTTCATTGTGTTTGAGCTTCCCGCTTAGTCTATTTTTGTTTTGTTTTGTTTTGTTTTGTTTTCTGAGGACAGGGTTTCTCTGGGTAGCCTTGGCTGTCCTGGACTCACTTTGTAGACCAGGCTGGCTTCAAACTCACAGCAATCTGCCTGCCTCTACCTCCCTGAGTGCTGGGATTACAGGGGTGTGTCACCACACCTGGCTGAGTCAATCTTTTAGTTTGTTATTTTATGTTGTTTTATTGTGACATAATCTCACTAGGCAGCCCTAGCAGGACTAGAACTAAGAGTTCTGCCTGCCTCTGTCTCCTGAGAGCTAGGATTAAGAGCATGTGCCACTATGCCTAGACTGAGTTTATTCTTAAATTCCTTATTGGGACTAAAAGCACAAGAGGACTAAAAGCCATTAAAAGCACAAGAGGAGACCCCATTTTGCCTAGAAACATGTGCCACTCCAGGTAGGGCTCCCCAAAATTTCCAGGAACAATAACAGCTAAGAGCCTACCTTCCTGTGAGTTTATAAACTTGTAGCCCCACTTAAGAAAGGCTCTAGGGGAATTCAGGCCTGAATTAGGTCAATCCCCAGAAAGTCTGTCATTTCCATTCACCAAAAGTCTGTCCGTTTCTAGACAAAAGCAGCTGCAAGCTGTGCTAAACAGTTAATGATAGGTGAGTACCCTCACATCTGCATGCACCCAGCCAGCCATGACCGATGCTACTACAATATATGGCCTTCATCAGAGAAAGTGTTCACAAGTGACAAGGTCTGAAACTGACCCAAGCCCCAACAGGCTTTCGGCAGCGAACAGAAACTTGAGAAAGGACAGCACACTTGCCAGAGCAAGGCTCCTCAGTAACAGCACATGCCCAGAGGACAGAGAATCTCGGTCCACTCTTTTCATTCTTCAGCTTTAATAAAAAAGGTCGTGGTCTAATTTTGAACTTTAAAAAGTAAAACAAAAACCAACAAAAGCAGGCTCTTTTCTTTCTTTAAGCGCACATAAAATCATTCCCAAAATACCAGTTTTCTATTGCCTCAGTAGTACATTCTAGTTATTTAGTTTTACAAGGACTCCTTTGATCAGGAAACCTGTCCACTTGGAAAAGAATGCCTTACGAGTATGTAAATTTACATATGCTAAAATTGTGCTGCTTTTCATTCTGAAAGAATCAAAAGCTGTTTTCTTTTTACATCAATAAATTAAGTTGTAAAAATCCCCCTTTCATAACAAGTATTAAGTACTAGTAACACAGCAAATGATGGGGAAAAGGCCTTGTAGTTCTTGACAGACAGAGTAGGAAGTTACACACACAAGCAAAACTCTTAACAGGCCTTTCCTAAGTAAACGGCACCTATGAAGAGCCACTTTTTCTTTGGAAAGAGAGGATACCCATGATATCATTTTCCCTGGATATAGTAGGGTAAGACTCCTTGATTGTTTCAGTCTTTTTGTTCTTCGTCTGTTCTCATCAACTATCTACGTATTAAAAAACTGCTTTCTTAAAAAGAAAAAAACTTTCTTACTTCTGTCAAGTGTTAGCTCTGAAATGCACCTTTCTCCAGACCTCCATGATTAAATTCTCCCTACTGCCATTCTATTTGTTTTATATATTACATATATTCCCTAAATATCATAATTCATATTGTTCTCTAATCATTCCAATTCTGTTTCTGTTTCTAGAACCAAGTCCCTGGACAGGGAATTTCCAGGGAATCTGTAGTTGTCTACTACTTATATCCTTTTCCCTATCCCTTTACTTATAAAGAAACGGGCCCACGTTTGCAGGAAAACTAGGCATACAACCCAGATGCCTTGATTGAATGTTTTCCACTATCTTAGTTCATCTGTCTTTATTTGCATCTTTTCAGAACACCTTATAAAGTGCTAGACACATACACAATTCCCAAAAGCATCAGTGTAACAAGCACACAAGTCTCTATAACTGGAAGATTGACCGAGGAAAGGGTTAGAAAGCAGAAAGGCCATTTCCTTACTTCTTTGCATGATGCCACCCTCCAGACCAGTTAATTGCTATTTTACACTTCCCGTCCATCAGGCACTGGGCAGCTGTGATAGTAGCTCCTCCTACAGCTGCTGCATAGTCAAATATCCCTTCTGTGGCTGGGCAGTCATAACCTGGGGGGCAAAACCCAGAAAAGTCTGTTAAAGAGTATCTGGAGAAAGAAGAATAGGTTGAGGTATCTGTGATAAGAACATGGCCTCCTAAGAAGCTTCCGGACTAAAATCAGCTCCAACGCTGCCAAATATGTCTTCAGAGTTAAGCCGGGTGTGGTGGCACACATCTGTAATCCCAGCACTCGGGGAGGCAGAGGCAGCTAGATCTCTGTGAGTTTGAGGCCAGCCTGGTCTACAAAGCGAGTCCAGGACAGCCAAGGCTACACAGTGAAATGCTGTCTTGGAAAAAAGGGAAAAAGAAAAAAGAAAGGATAAAGCCTTCAAGATGAACTTCTCCTATTCCACCAGCAGTCCAATCAAGGCCTGAGAGGTGATGTATGTTGCCAGTGGTCACATAGAGGCAGTCCTGGGACCAGTGTCTTGATTTCCAATCTAGCATTTTTCTATGAACCCACTAGAACAGGGAATGCCTAACCTTTGACATCACGGTATGTTACTGTCACCATTAGTAACTATCCTGGAAGGTCTATTGCCCATGAGCTACAAGTTGGACATACCTGCTCTAGACTATGCTGTTGACAAGTCACTGAGGGTTTTTTCTCTAATGAATGTGTTAATGAAGGATAAGGTAGGAAACTTAGCCAGAATATAAATATGCATGGTTACACACAGCTTTAATCCCAATATCTGGAAGGCAGAGGCAGACAAGTTCCAGGCCATCAAGGGCTACAATTTTTTGAGACCCCATCTCAAAACATAAAAAATAAAAATACCCAAACCAAATAAATCTATACTTAAAATACATGATTATAGACAGCTATACTGGCATTTATATAGCCAGAGTAGACCTAAGTGCTGCCATTAGAATCTCTCCTTCAAGCTCATCATTTGGTTCTATTCAACTCATGAAGTGTACACAATATGACTAAACCACAGGATTAAAATGAAAAAGCTGGGGCTAGGGATATAGCTAAGGCAGAGTGCCTGGTCAGCATGTACAAGGCCCTCCCTCATTCTACCCTCAATAACATAGACACAGGCACATAACATAGCATACACACAAACACACACACCTGTTCTATTATTTTTTAATTAAAAAAATATTGGGCTGGAGAGATAGCCCACCAATTAAGAGGTTTCGTTCTCTTCCAGAGGACCTGGGTTCAATTCCCAGCATCCACATGGCAGCTCACAACTGTCTGTAACTTCAGTTCCAAGGGATCTAAGGTCTTTTCTGACCTTCACTGGCACTACATGCATGTGTTGTACATACACACACTCAGGCACACATGCATACACATATTTTTTTTTAAAGGATTGTCTTAGAAAAGAAAAGAAAACAGTATTTTGGGTTAGGGAGGTAGCTCAGTCGGTAAAATGTCTGCCACACAAGTGTGAGGGCTTGAATTCCGATTCCTAGCACCCATGTAAAAGCTGCCACAGGAGGCGTGAAGAGCCAGCCCTGGAGGAATGGAGACAGGTAGATTTTTGGGAGATCACTGGCCAGCCAACCTAGTCAAAATGGGGAGGTGCAAGTTCAACAAGAGACTTTGTCTCAAAACATAAGGTGGGGAGTGATTAAAGAAGCCACCGGTGCTGACCTTTGGTTCCACATGTCTACCAGCAGACACACGTACACCACCACACATAAACATATATGCATACACATAGAAAAAGGGACACAAGTTAAATAACAGAACTATAGGTGGAGGTCTGCCCATCTTCCATTGTTGCCAGAAAATCACCATACCTAATCCATACTCTATGGAATCCGGATGGTCCTCATCACCTTCTTGGCTAACCTTCTGGAGATGTTGCAAATAACCATCAGTGTGGAAGGTGGCCATGTCCTCCATGGAGGCCACTTTGGGCTTTACTATCCTAATAACAACAGAGTGAACAGAGAGAAGTGTGTCAGACCCAGAGTATACAAGGTGCTAAAAACAGCAGCCAACATTCTGAACAGAAAAGACAACTCTCAGCTTCTGGCTCCAGTAGCTGAAGTCATAAACACACTCTGTCCCTCCATTGCACTCTTCCGTCTTCACTTCCTCCATCTATGATATTGACTCCACTAGTAAGAGGCAAGAGGACAGATTTTTTTTTCCTTTAAGTTTTTAGGCAGGGGAGCATAACTAAATAACTATGTTTAACTCAAACAGGTAGTTGTGGACCAAGGTCCCTGGTTTAGCCACACAAAGCTTACTAACCCAGGACCAGCAGGATGGCTCAGTGGATAAAGGCCCCTGCCACAAAACCCGACAACCCGATTTTAATCTCTGGGGCCCATATTGGGGAGGAGAGAACCGTGCCCTCTGATCTCCACGTGTGCTCTGTGACACACACATCCCTCTAAATAAATAAATTAATTAAATTTAAAAAATTAAAGAACTCTCAGGCTGGAGAGATGACTCAGGGTATAAGAGAACTGCTGCTCTTGCAGAGCACTGGGGTTCAGTTCCCAGCACCCGCATGGTGACCTACAACCATACATAACTTCAGTTCCAGATCTGACCCCCCTCGTCAGACCTCCATAGGTATCATACACTCACATGCAGGCAAACACTAATACATATAAAATAAGTAAATATAAAACTATATTTTTAAAATACTGAAACATAAACTTCACTCTGTGAGTTACGTCTCTCATGACAAACCAACAAAGCTATTTACATCTGAATCAGTTGTTACCCAGACTGGGTAATCCTTTCAGTTAGATGTTTAGTTACTTGTGTTAGTATTGGTGCTAAGCCTTGGGGCCCCGTCCCTATTACATCTTTAACAGGCAGCTTGGTTATCGCAGTTATAATTTGGAGACAGAGAACTGGATTCCTTTCCTAACTCTATACTTCCTGGTTCTGTAACGTCAGGTAAGCTGACTACTCTCCTGTACTGCAGCTTTCTCGTTTATAAAATGAGTCAACTTAGTGGACTTAGGCGGAGATGAAATGATAACATCTACAAAACTTTTTGGACAACTGTTATCAATATTAGTGAGAAAAGTAGGGAAGTTAGATTGGGGATGTAGCTCAGTTATACAATATCTACATGTGCAAGGTCCTATGGTTAATTCCCAACACTGTAATTAAAAGAAAGAAAGAAAGAAATAATAAACCAAAACCAAAACCAAACAACAACAACAACAAAAAAAAAACAATATAAAGGCAACATGTTATATATAGCAGCAAATGCTTGTAATCATAGCACTGAGAGTTAGCAAGATCATGAGAGTAAGGCCAGCCTGGGCTACATAACAAGCTCAGAGTAAATTGGGCTCTATAAGACCCTATCTCTAAAATAAAAGAGGGGCTGTGTGGTCATGTATGCACGGGGGTTTACAAATCTGTAGATGTGTAGGAGCTACATGTCCTTTCTATACCTCTCCCCCATATTCACTTGAGACAGAGTCTCTCAACTGAATCTGAATGTGGAGTTAGACTGGCAATTAGCAAGCCCCAGCAATCATTCTGAGTCTTGTCTACCCCTTCCAAAACAATGGGGTTACAGGTAAAAGCCAGCAGGTAAATGCATTTGCAGACAAACGCCAGCCTTTCCTGTGGATTCTAGGGACTTGAACTTGGATCCCAGTGCCTGTACAGCAAGTGCTCTTACGTCCTATGCCATCTCCCCAGTGTCCTCTAATACAAAAAGTTTCTAGGGACTGGAGAGATGGCTCAAAGGTTAAGAGCACTGGCTGTTCTTCCAAAGGCACTGAGTTCAATCCCCAGCAACCACATGGTGGTTCATAACCATCTATAATGAGATCTGGTGCCCTCTTCTGACCTGCTAGCTTACATGCAGGCAGAATACTGAATAAATGATAAATCTTTAAAAGTTTCTATTACTTGGTCTCTTACATCTATCTCCCAGGGGAAAGGTAGGTGAAGCAAATGGCTAGAACCTCTCACTCAATGCCTCACAGTAAGTGAGAAAAGGAATGAATGAAATAGGTTACATGGGATTTCTGGTCTCTAACCTGCTGATTTCCCATTTTCTCTTCTGGATTCTGCTGCAGTTGTATTCTCTAACCCTTGCTGCTGAACAGGCAGTCAACATACTAGCAGAGTGGCATTTTTTTTTTCCTTAGAAAGCCAGAGCCCAAGTCTCACCCTAGGCCAACTGAACCACAATTTGTATTCTAACAAAAACATATTTCTTAACAAGATGATTGCCCATTCAAATTGAAGAACTATTCTAGCCACAGAAAGGTAGCATGTATGTTTTCTTAATGGGAATACAACCATGAGTTTATTATGAATTAGTACAGGTAAGATATTTAGGCATCTAGTATAACTAAGGTGTTTAGAATCTTGTGGTTTGACCTCAAAAGTTAATATACAGACAAAAATCAAAGAGTCCTGTTTTATATTCAAGTACAGGTCTATACCATGAGAGGTGAAAAAGCTGTCCATTAAAATGAAATTTCAGGGCTCAGCAGCGGCAGTCACTTGTTGGAAATCCTGACACCCTGAGTTCAATCCCCAGGTGGTGGAAGCAGAGAAGCAGTTCCTGAAAGTTGTCTTCTGACCTCCACATGTGTACTGTGGCACTTGACCACCCCTTCACGCACCCTCGCCCCATCCAAAGAAAGAAATGCAACATAGTGTTTAAAATAAACCTTTCAAAGATCCCTTAATGGCTCGCGCCTTTCACCCCAGCACTCAGGATGCAGAGGCATGGAGCGTGCTCTGTAAAATCAAGGCCAGCCTGGTCTCCCATAGTGAGTTCCGGGACAGCCTGGGCTAACGTGGAGAAGCCCGGTCTCAATTTTTTTTTTTTCACAAACTATTGGATTATGTTTCGCAGCCTTTCTGAATGTTCTCTCTTATAACACCCTCCCATCTATTTCATTATACCCTAAAACAAAATGCTGACAGCCAGCCACTCCTTAAAGCAGTGAGTCTTGCTCTGACATCTTGTTTGCACTAAAATATTTTTAAGTGTTAATTTTTGTATGTGGGAGCCTAGGCTTCATGCATATTAGGCAAATGTTCTACACATTGAATATATAATATCCTAAACCTCTTTAAAATTTTTTATTTTGAGACAGGTTCTGGCTAAGTTACTAGCCTGGCTATGAAGTTGTGTTGTTCTTGCCTCAGTCTTCCAAAGGCCTATAATTAAAAACCCACACCATTGTGCTTAGAAAACTGTTAAAATACTTTACAGAAAGGCAAATAGTTATACTGACAAACACAGGAGTTAAGCAATGGTAGCAAAACAATCCTAGGTAGGTCTAGTGTAGCACACCTTTTGAGCACAGTACCTGGGAGGCAGAGGCAGGTGGATCTTAATAGGTTCAAGGCCAGCCTCGTTGACATAACAGTTCCTAGACACTCAGACCTACACAGTGAGACCCTGTCTCAAAACAACAAAACATTCCCAAGGAACGTATACAATAAAAATGGCCAGCTATTCAAGGAGAAACCCTGAAAATCTATTACATTACTTTCTGTGAGGAGAATGAAGCATTGGGTGATGAAGCCAGTCACCCCGTTGGTTAGTCAAGAGGAAACCTGATTTGACATGTGCCAGGTCCAGAATAGTTGCATTTATGACATTAAATATAATATTGGCAATCAATAGGAAGCTTGGTTTTGAAGCATGTAGTTAGCTCTTTCTTGAGTTCTGGTCTCAACAAATACCAGGTTAAAGTCTACTAGTGATGGGAGTGGGGTAGCAGATCCAAAAGTCTCAAATTCAACCCATATTCTCAAATTTAGCTTTCGAAAACACACAAAACAAAACCCAAACCAAATATAAAACAAAAGCTGAACATTTCCCTGCTTAACACTGCCCCACGAATTTAGCATCAACATCCCATTCCTAATGGCTCTTAACTGCTTTGTTTGCCTTTCCCAAGTGTTCGAAATCCCAAAACTTTTCCTGAGTTACAAACGTATATTAAACACTATGAACACTCCCACAAAAGTTTTTGTTGTTGTTGTTGTTGTTTTTTTAAAGCACCATTTCTCCCTGGTTAATCCCCCATGAGACAAAGCTATGAACACACCTGGCTTCACAGATAACCATGTTCAGAAAGGTCAATGTACTTACCTCATTTGTTTATGCAGGGCATATGCTTCGATTAGAGAGTGGACCATACTGGCCTGAAATATCAGCATAAAAGAAAGACAGAACAGTCTCTTCAAGATTCAATTTACTGAAATCCCATTAACAACATCCTGCATGAAGAACTACTTTATCTCTCTTCCTTCTGTTAGAATACACTTAAGACAATACAAAGAAAGTCTCCAAATCGCCAAGATTTTAAGCTACCCAGCCTTAGTAACACAAGTGATGGTATACGCTCTCCTAACAGTTTGTGGTCCAGGACTTCAATGATTCCCCTCTTACAAACTCCACTGGCTTCTCCACCCGTCCTTCCCCTCCCCCGCCGCCCCGCCTCCACCCAAGCGGTGGATGCCCCGCTGAGCTCCCCAAAGGTAATGAAGCACTTGTTTCGGTTTCAGCTTGGCGTGACTGACACTGCTAGTTAATTTTTTTTTTTTCCTGAAGGTATCCCTCACTCCAGTTTTCCCTGGTTCTTAACGTACTCCCTTTCACACCCTCCCACCTCCATCTCCCCCAAACCGTGGTCTTTCATCCAGACCTCTCTTACCCGTTTGGGGACCTTGGCGAGGGAGTCGCATATGTTGACATACTCGGGACTGTAAATATAAACCGGGGGTAGAAAATGTCCACTATCGGCGGGTTCCTCTGGCATCTCCATCTCCCACTTCCAACCGTCGCCGAGCCAAAGTCTGGAGACAACAGTTTTCGGACTCAGCCTGAGCTCCGGTTCCTGCTCCTCTGTTCGGCCCCAGCGGTGCTCCCTGGTCAACATTCCCTCTTATTTAGTTCACCAGAGACAGTTTCCCTGGTACCTCGTCCAACTGCGGAGATAGATGCGCCCTCCCAGAAAAAATCCCTTCTTTTAATGACTACAGGGTAAAAAAACAAAACAAAACCAACCAAACAAAAAATGGGGGCCTTGAGATATATAAAAGCCCAAATAGTTTCCAACTGGGATCGATTTTCTCACGGCACAGGTAACACTGTCAAAGCCAGCCTTGTTGCCCTACGGGGCCATTTGAAATGAGGTCAGACAAGCTTCAGAGCATTCTGGGAGATGTAGTTTTAAGGGAGCATGGTAGCGGAAGCATCACAGCTAAATAATAAAAGCCGCGATTTCAAGTTTTGGCGCTAAAAAGGAGTCTCAACCCTTTAAGTTTTCAAATTGCAAATATCACCATTTAAATGTTGAAATAGAGGTACAGTACTCGTTCAATAGCCACGAAGGACCCACCATCACCCTGCAACATCAGCTGACTACACTAAGGCTTTGAGGAGCGGTGGACCAAATGGTTTGAAATTTTTACAAAGTAAATTTTGTGCTGCAACTTTAGTTTACCACTTTTCACCATTGTCCGTAAGAAATAATAATCTCAGCAATAATCCACACTGACAAATCTGATATCAACTTCTTGAAATTGGTGGAGATTGTGGAAATTGTAGGGTAGAATCTAAGCAAAGAAAGAGCTCAGCTTCCTCCAAGGAGTTGGAAAACGCAGCTCCCCCACCCCACCCCTCACACCCACACTTCTTCCATTTGCTTGTGCAGCTGGAAACAATAGTTAGGGCAAATGTGTTAGGTTTGCTGTTTAGGGTGTTAGTGTGGCCTCAGGCAGTGTTATAATTTCCACCAGAAGTTTTGGGTTTCTGGATGCCTCCGTGATCTGAGCCTAGCCTGTCTGTTCCCAGGCCCCCAACACTCAACAGCATCCTGAACTGACCTACCGAGGCCTCGGAGAAAATCCTACAACTGTAACTTCTTTAAATCTCTAACTTGCTTTAAACATTTGTTTTGTGATAGCACTTAGGTAATTATCTTACTAAATCCTTTCAACAGTTCCATAAGGAAGCTGTAATATGCCCGTTGCAGATGTACTTTGAATAGCCAAAAACATTTTCCATCATACACTGAAGTAGGAAAACAATCCACAGTTAGGCCTATCTAACACCAAAAATCGAAATTTTTTTTTTTTTTACTAAATGAATTTTATTCTTCCAGATTGACTTTGTGCTCCTCAATACTTAATATTCTTGAAATTGTGGCATGTGTGCACGAGCTTGCAGGTGTGTGTGTGTGTGTGTGTGTGTGTGTGTGTGTGTGTATGTGTTTGATGCATTTGTTCTCCAACTAGAATAGAATCAGTTATGCTTCGTTTGTATTTTTCCATAGGATTTAGTTCTAAAGCATTATACTCATTCAGTTACTCAGGCAATTCTATAAACTATGTGTACACTCACTCTAGCTATGGATTCAAAGATACAGTGTACTCTCAAGGAATCTGCATTATTATAGAGAAAATAAGGCAACTGAATTAGAAACCATATCAATATACAGCCAGATAATGAATGTAAGGTGCTTAGCTTACTCAATAAAGTAAGCATTAAGCATTTAATATTGAATATTCAATAAATGGGTAAGTAAAATTCATAGTAGCATTTGAGATTATCTTAGAGGATTACAAAATATTGTGCTTGGTGAGGATGGTAGGGCATGCTGACTGGAAGAAGCAGCTTACATAAAAACAAACAAACAAAAAACCCCACAAAGAATGGTGACAGGCAAGATTGCTCAGTGGGTAAATATACTTGCTGTTAAGCTTGATGATCTGAGTTCAGTCTCTGAATCCCATATGGTAGAACATGAAAAACAATGCCTACAAGTTGTCTTCTGACCTCTACATGCATGCACCATTGCACAGGAACACCCAGACACATCCAAAACACACATAAAAGAATAAACATAAAAATTTAAATACAAAGAATGTTGGTATAATGTTTTTTTTTTTTAATGTATACACCTTACCCTTGGTCATTAAAATACTAATTTCTCCCCCACCCACCCTCAACTCTCTGGTTTCAATCCGGATATTGTATTATGATACTCATTCTAAGCATCCTGTCTCAACTCTTATGTAAACAGGAGCAAAATAAAGCAACTAGACGCAATGTTGAGCAGGGAGGAGCCAGAGGACAGGAAAGAGGGGAAGAGCCAGAAGGCGGGAGAGGAGTGGGAGGAGAAGGAGGAGAAGGGGCGAAAGGAAAGCTAGGAGAGCAGAGCTGGAGGGGAGATCTTGGAGGACGTGGAGCATGAACCAGACCTAAGATTTCACAAAAAGCAAGTATAATGTGGAAAATCTAAATGTTAGGAAACTGAGGGCTTGGAGGTTTAGGAGGGAGTAAATATTGCCCAACATTGTGTTCTAGGTTAACTAAAAACCCAGTCTCTGTGGGTGATTTGGTTATACAGATGTTTAAGATTAACAGCAAGCTTTACTAGAAGATACACTAATAGTAAATATTAAAAACCCCTACAACAAAAGAATGCTGAACTTGGTGGCACATGCTTGCAATCCAAGCATTCAAGAGGCAGAGGCAGAGGCAGAGGCAGAACAATCACGAGTTTGAGACCAGCCTAGACCAGCCAGGGCTAGTAGTAAAACCTTGTCCCCTATATCAAAATAAATAAATCCATTAATAATAAAAAATTCTATTCCATTTTTGTGGAACAGGCCAGATCATGAAAGTCTTCAGTATCAGGCTAACGGAAACATACTCTATTCTCTTTGAAATGGAGAGGCATTTTTTTAATGGTGGGAAGGAAACCCCGGCCTCTGTTTCTGCCAGGCAAATGATCTAGACCCTAACCCCTTAGAATCTTCAGAAAAATATTATAGAGCAACAATGTGTGTGAAAATTAGTTATTTGAAAGACTGAAGCAGTACAAGCCACAAAAATCCAGATGAGGAAGGAATGATCATTGGCTTAAACTAGGCTGGCAGGAGTGGGAAAAGAAAGGAAGCAGTAGCGCCTAGGGGAAACTAAGTAGGACTCCTTGCTACTTGGATAGTGGGGAGAGTGAAGGGGATGAAAGAGAGCTGTTGAAAACCCTTAAAGTTTTGAAATCTGGGTGAAGAGAAGATTACAACCAGTTCCAGTATAAGAAAATAGGGTCTTAGTTCAGTAACAGAGTGTATGTGCTGGAAGTTTTGGTTTCTTTAAAAACTCAGTTATGTAAATATGTTATTGCTTTAATCCCAAGTGTGGAATAGGGGGCTGTTTTAGTTAATCCACAGTTGATAATTGCCTTGTGCAGCTAAGACAGGGGCATGGTCTTTGCCAGCTGAAGTTAGTGGAATTCTGAGGGCTCTGGAAGAGTATAAATACTAGAGCCCAGAGAGAGAGAGAGAGAGAGAGAGAGAGAGAGAGAGAGAGAGAGATGCTTTGAAGAAGGCTGTTGGTTCATTCAGCTGCTGCATTTGTGTTTGCTGGACTGCTGGATATCATGAAAACTGTGACTGGGACTCTACCCAGCTGTAAGTAGTCAAAGAAAACTCCACTAACCTTCTTTTTCTCCTATCTAGTTTTGGGGGATTGGAAGGTTTAGGGTGGATAAGGGTTGGAAGGGAGGTAGAGGTATAAGAAACCAATAAAGTAGATAAAAAGTAAGCCAACAAGTGTCTGCTTAAAATATGTGGCACCAAAAACAAAAAGGCAACAAGAAGGAAGAACGTTAAGACTAAGGTAGAATGGACTTTGAAGTAGGACTGAAAATGTTTAAAAAGTATTAAGTCTAATAAAACAGTGGGACAGTTGGCTGTAGTGGCACAGAGCTTTAATTTAAGCACCAGGAATGCAGAGGCAGGCAGATCATTGTGAATTCAAAGCTAGCCTGGCTTACGGTTTTATGTGGTAAGACCCTGTCTCAAAAAAAAAAAAAATCGAATAAAAACAAAAGCAGTGGATCAAACTGTGTGCGCACACACACACACACATACACTTCCATGTTTAAAAAAAAAGATGGTTATGAGTGGCCAAGATAGCTAGAGTAGTACAGATAAAATAGTTGGATACGGCTTATAACTTCTGGACATAATTTTAATGTTTTTAAAACTAAACTTCTGATTTCCCCATCCAAGGCCTTTCTAGTCTTTTCCCATTTTTACACCTGTCCTTGTTGCACAAGTCAGACACCTAAGAGCTCCGTTTATGTTCTTTTTTCCTTTTTCATCGTTATAAAGCATTTTATTATTGTTTTGTATTAATGTCATTAAGGGAATAATCTTTTTAATTTTAACTGTGAACTGTTTGTTGCTACAGAATATAGAGAAATACTGTTCATTAGTCTATATTGTTCTATATCTTTGCAAGTTTTTTAGGATATTTTCCTGTTCATTTCTTTTTTAATTAATTACTTTATTATTACAATTTATTCACTTTGTATCCTCGATGTAGCCCCCTCCCTTATCTCCTCCTAATCCCACCCACCCTCCCTCTTTTCACCCTCTCTCTAGTCCTTGGTATAATGTTCTTTTGGAATGTATACACCTTACCCTTGTTCATTCAAATGCAGATTTCTCTCCCCCACTATCTGGTTTCAATCTGGACATTGCATTGTGATACTTATTCTAAGCATCACCTGTCTCAAGTTTGTGTAAACATGCCACCGTTTGTTCTCTAAATTGTCAATTAAAACAACCAGCCACAATGTTGAGCAATGGAGAGGATAGAGTGGGACATCCTGGTTCAGAGTGGAAGGAGAGGAAGGAAGCAGGAGTAGGAGGGAAATAGGAGGAGCTGTGGAAGAGGAACAAAAGCTGGAGGAGAGGTCTTGGAGCAAAATGGAGAAATGAACCGGGCCTAAGATATCACTAAACGCAAGTATAATGCGTGAATCTGAATGTTAGGAAACTATGCAGGCTTGGAGGTTTAGGATGGAGTAACTATTGCCCAGTATTGTGTTCTAGGTTGATTAAATAAATCTTAGTCTCTGTATGGTGATTTGGTTATACAGCTGTTTAGGATTAACCACAGCTTTACTAAAAGATATATCAACAGTAATTATTAATGACCTAATACAACAAATGGTGCCCAAATAATCTAGGTATCCACACCCTTTAAATCATACTTTATCATAATTTGGGGGGGGATAAGCTCCCAGTGATACAACCCAAACTTAAAACTTAAAAACTCAAAACGACCCTA